GTCCATTCATATCAGACTATTCATCAACGTTTTTAAAGTGATTTTTCACCAATTATTATTCATTGTTTAGAGCCAAATTACAATGTTTCATTAAGTTAAATGTTGACTGATTTTTTTTTCATACTTAACGTTAAACACTGAATTGTTTATGGATTTTCCTATTTACCTGATCATGACAAGGAGCACACTGCAGGTGTAACAAGTCTATAGGAGATCCTCCATTGCACCTGATCCCACTTCCGAAGTTATTCAGGGATCCGTGTTGACTCTGCTCCCGATTTGTATTTTTTCCATGGATTTTTGAGTTTGATATCTTCGTTATATTCCATTTATTTCTATCCGCATTCCAAGTATTTCAGTAATTAAATATTAAACTGTTCATTTTGCACTGTATCTTCTTTATTTCTTCTTTTCATTTTCTGATTTTTAGGTCACCTGAGTAAACTCAGGTGACCTATTGCTATCCGTTTTCGTCCGTCGTCGTGCGTCGTGTGTTAACATTTGAACATATTCAGCTTCTTCTCTGAAACCACTGAACCAATTTCAACCAATTTTGGCATACAGCATCTATGGGTGAAGGGGAACAACAATTGTGAATTTCATGGTCCCTGTCCCCCTGGGACCTTGGGGATGGAGCCAAAACAACTAAAAATAGTGCAGTCTTTAAAAATCTTCTTCTTTACTCCTGGACATCAAGCAGACAAGTTGTTGGTATGATTGTAATCAGCATTGAGTCCTCTACCAAAATTGTAAAATTCATGGCCCCAGGGTCAGGGGTTCTGGTGTTAGGGCGGGGCTCTATTGATAATATAGTGAAAATGCATTATTTCTTTGAAAATCTTCTTCTCTGCTCCTGGGTATCAAATTAACAATCTAAGTACATAGTTATGATGAGCAAGAGTGCCTTTTTCAGATTTGTGAATTTTATGGCCCCAGGGTCAGGGGTTCTGGTGCTAGGGCGGGGCTCTATTGATTATATATAGTGAAAATGCATTAATTCTTTGAAAATCTTCTTCTCTGCTCCTGGGTATTGAATAAACTAACTAAGTACATTGTTATGATGACCAAGAGTGCCTCTTCCTAAATTGTGAATTTCATGGCCCCAGGGTCAGGGGTTCTGGTGTTAGGGCGGGGCTCTATTGATTAGATAGTGAAAATGCATTAATTCTTTGAAAATCTTCTTCTCTGATCCTGGGTATTAAATAAACTAAGTAAGTACATTGTTATGATGACCAAGAGTGCCTCTCCCTAAATTGTGAATTTCATGGCCCCAGGGTCAGGGGTTCTGGTGTAAGAATGGCACCTCAACCAATTTTGTGAATTTTTATGTCCCCTGTGTCAGGGGTTTTGCTATTTGCTTTGAGGGGGGGGGGACTTTTGATTATATAGTGAAAATGCATTAATTCTTTGAAAATCTTTTACTTTGCTCCAGGGTATTAAATTATGCCAATGATCTAAGTATATATATATATATATATATATATTTTTGATGAAAAAAGGTGTATCTAGCAAAACGGTTAATTTCATGCCCCCTGGGTCAGGGGTATAGGGGGGGGACATAGTCTGAAAATAAATTACTGCTTTGAAATCTGCTTTTTGGTATTAATCAACCATTATAGATGAAATAAAATTTATGATAAAATTTTCAAAATTTTGAAATGAATGGCCCCAGGGTTAGTGGTCCCTTTGGGGTGAGGTGCATAAATGGTTATAAAGTGGAAGTGCATTTTCTGTTTGTTACTCTGATCTACGTCTGGGTATTAAGTAACTAGAGTAAGCATGGTAAGTGTATAATTATGATAAGCAATAGTGCCTTTTTCAAAATTATGAATTTCATGGCCTCTGGTTTAAAACACGAAATAAATTCAATTGTTAAAAGTTGTTACATGACCCTCAGGTGACCTATAAGGCCCGTGGGCCTCTTGTTTTAGTGGTGTTATATGTCATTACTAATAAACTAAGATTTTTTTTTTAAAAAATTACTTCCTGATTTTGTTTTCTAAATAAAGGATTTGAAATCTCCAAAATCGGCTAGTATGCTTGAATGACTGGAGATCTCGGAATACCATGCGTTTGGCGAAAATGAACAACGCATCAGTATCAAATCTCTAAAGTTTTTCATAGTTCAGAAATGTTAAAGCACTATAGAAAAAAAGCACAAAAGTACAGTAATGCATACATACTTTTTCCAAAAAAAATAAAATATGAAATGACGACTGTCCCAACTCAAGCCCGTCAGCCTGTGTTCTTAGAGTATTTTTAGCTGTTATCAAAATTTTATATCGATATCTGAGTTATCAACTTGAATGGCAAAATGAGAGTCTATTCAGTCAAAATTAGTAACTGTTTAATCTCTTTCAGTCAAAATTAGTAACTGTTTAATCTCTTAGACATAGAACGATTTAATTAAATACGACATTGCAAGCAAAGTTTACATGTTTATCCTAAATATATTCTCAGATTCTTTTGATTTGAAATTTTCTAAACAAATCCGAATGGGCCTATCAAAGGTTATATTCAGACCTCTTAGCTGCCGAACAGTCGAAGAATATACTTGGCATGGGTCTAAAAGGTGTTTTGAAATTTAAAAGCCACGATAACTAAAGATAACTTGCAAAATAGGCCTAATTCTCATTTCGAGGTACTTCCTAGACAAAGTGGAATATCTTACCTATTCGACCTATTTACTTAAAATAAAAGGGGTTGAAGCAATCAGTTACCATATTCTTTATCTTACGTATACTCGGAGCGATATAATTTTAATTATGTTGTTTGGCCCGCGTTGCCTCTTTCGGAGGAGGTTGCAATTTTGACAAAATGAGTGTTTTCGAGACGAAGTTAACGATAGATACAGCTGTAAAATGACGGATTATGATATTTCCTCATCACGTGCATACGGAGTTTATATAACAATTGTTTAATCTAACAAATTTATAGCTAGCAATTTCCAAAAACGAGGTAAATTATTCACAAAGAAGTTGATATAACAAAAATATTAGAAGTTTTGTTTAAAGTCATCATTCATAAGTTCTATGCATGATACGATGACCTTATCAGCAAATACAATTATCAATGAGTCAAATTTTGATTGTCGTTTTTCATACTAATTTTTGGTCAATTATTTAGGCACTGAATTGACGACGGATTTTTCCGTTTTGCGATCATGACAGGGAGCACACGGCAGGTGTGACCGGTCGGCAGGGTATGCTCACTCCTCCATGGCACCTTATCCCACCTCAAATGTTTTGGAGGTCAGTGTTTGCTCTGCTCCTTTTTGTATTGTTTTTTTTTAATTGTTTTATTGACTTTTGAGCTTGAATGCGTTCGTTATCTCCATATACATGGATTTCATTTGTATACGATCTAATTAATATTAGTGAAATTTAATAATGCTATCGTGTTCATAGATTTTAACCAAATTTGAAAATAAAAGCCTTTTTATTGATTCTGTGAAATGAACTTAATTATATATCCATTGTACTGATAAAACATCAATTATAATGTACGTACTTGAAAAGTTCATTAATTATGTTGTACGTAGTTGAAAAGTTATTTTAGGAACAGTAGAATTAACAGCGGAAGTAGAAAATGAGGATCAAAGTAACAGAAGAGCTGTTAAGTAGAGAAACATTACAGGAAGAGAACTTAAACAAATACAAATCTGATATTGAAATTTTCCAATTAGCCTTTAATTATTCTTTAGTTAAGTTAAAACTATGTTCAATGAACAAATTATGTTCAAACAATCTATTTCATGATAAATTAATTAAAAGTTCTGATACAAATCAAATATTTTGTAAATAACCAATGACAATGTTAGTAAATTTCCGAGTTTCGTTTTCATTGTAAAAACAGCTGTCTAAAAGCTGAGTTTGATGCTACAAATAGCTAACAACATTCTCCAAATCTTTATTGTTTGCGATGTTTTTTTAACATGTCAACTTTCTAGATACGTGTTATTAAAAATAGTATTGAAATTTCCCTGATTTTTTTTTTCATAGATGACACAACTTATCCCGAAGCATAAAAACAAATAAATTGTAAAGTCTCCGTAAATAAGATATATGTGTCAAACTCTGTGGTATTTTTTCCCTTCCAGCTAAAGAATGAAACATATGGAGATAACAATCAGTATTCAAGATCAAAAGTCCATAAAACAATACAAAATAGGAGCAGAGCAAAATCAGACCTCCGAAACATCAGAGGTGGGATCAGGTGCCATGGAGGAGTGAGCATCCCCTGTTGAGCGGTCACACCCGCCGTGAGCTCCTTGTCGTGATCGGGAAAGAATATATCGAGTCTACATCCGAATGGAAGTAACAATTGTAAATTGAAAATACGTCGTCTATATATCTTAATGTCGAGTTGGAGGTTAGAGCAAATGTTTTCTTTTTAACATGTATAAGTTTTTAAATGAATTCTGCTTCACATGAATACAAAAACGGTCTGCTTAAAACGTGTGTCATGGGATATCCAAATTCCAGGATATTGCTGCATGACTTCCAAAACTGTGTTTTTGAACGGATTTAATACAAATCATATTTTTAAAATACAACAAAATGTGAATAGACATAATTAAATGTGGAAGTTTATTTTGGGAACAGAAGTTAAAAATGACGTTCAAAGTAACAGTGATGCATACAGAAAAGGGAAATTTCTCAGTATTTTTACAGATACAATACAGATATTAATATTTCCCGAATTAGTCCATGATTGTATTTAGTTAAAAACAGTGTACACCTGACATGTCATGTTTTAACAAAGTACTTAATGATTGATTGTTTGTATGCTGTTTTACGCCTCAGAGTCCATTTAAGAGTTCATTAAAATCTCTAAAATAAAGGCCCTTTGACTAAAGTACAGTCATAGGAAAAAGATCATAAACTGAATTTCCGAAAGAGCATTTGTTTCCACAAATTTCCTGGAAGTGTCATCACATGTATGTTTTTTTTTCTATATTTGGTAATATGACAGGTTCACTCTCTCCCATATGCTTTAATTCACAACAATACAATAAACGAATAATACATGTATATCAACTTGAACGAGATGAAATTAGACTTTGAAGCACTAGTATATGTGTTTTTCGTTTTGATTCTAAAAGGTAAGTCGAATATATTTTTCCGATAAACTTTGAAAGATGAAAAAATATATTAAAGTCTTTTTAAAAACTTATTAAATGATTGAGGAAAAAATTAAACTCATTGTAAAAACTTCTTATTTCTACGAGTAGAGGGTAGCTCGCTTCCCATTGTACAGCACGGTATTTATGGGACAATAGAATCCCCGGGTTTTCCTAAAAACTACTCACACAACCTCAACATCACGTGGGAGACGTATGGCCCTATAGATGCTATATCATTGATGGTGACTATTCTTCAATTCGATGTCTACTACGATCCTAATTTTCCGTGTCAAGATCTTCTGACGGTATAATTTACATGCAGATTATCCAAGTTTGTGAATATGTTTCAATTATACCAGATTATCACAAGTTTGCATTGAGATTCACATCAGTAAGCCTTTTTGTTCGGATTGATTGATTGTATGCTGTTTTATTCCTTTGCAAGAATTGTTCTCTCATATACAGACATCACCATATATCGTTGAAGGACTTGAAATTTTGACTTTTACTCGGCACTCAGGGTTATTTAGCAGTGAGCGTTCTTTATCATGTCAACGCATGCCGCGATACGGGGCCGCAGTGTTTTTAGGTATCATCCAAAAGTCTCACAACTTTCCCTTCAAAGTGCTGAGAGCGCTCGTTCTGTAATCGGATGGTCATGGGTTCGAACCTCGCCGCACCTGGCCTAAGTCGATAAAAAATAGTTAAGACAACTGTTTCTTCGCCAAGTGCTCGGCGCTTTTAAGTGAAATTTGCAGGTCTTTCAGATAAGACCTTAAAAACCGAAGCCCGGTGTCTCGGTAGGTGTTGGCACGATAAAGAACTCACACTGCATACTCAACGGCCCTGAGTGCCAAGTATGGTCTAAATATCAAGCCCTTCAAGGTAAGATTGTGATGTCTTTACATGGGTGAAAAATTCTCGAAGGGGATGTAAAGTTAATCAATCAATCACAGTGCCGAGCGCTTGGCAAACGAACAGTTGCTACCTATTGCTATCAACTATGGTCAGTCGCGGTCGATTTGAGTTCACGTAGCGAGTGCACTAACGACTGAGCTATTGTGACGGTTTGTTAGGATATTTTTTCATAAATTCAAATGCCCCCTTTTAATTACTAGCATAAAATCTTAATTTCCAAAATAAATATAAATTTTAATTGGAATTCGACAAATTACAGCATTGCAGTGATTTAGTACATTAGACGACACAAAAATTAATTTAATTAAGTTGTCTCTTTGAAACCTACTATTAACTGCATATATGAAATATATTCATCCTTATCCATTGAATTTGGGCAAATAGAACATGGAGTATTAAATGTAACCGACAAAAAGTTTAGATTTAGATTTTTAAAAATGATGTATTTTCTCAGACGTCGACTTGATTATTTTTTTCTTATTTTAGATTTCTGAAGTGGAGACGAACTTTGACTTTTTTAACCGATGTGGAACCATCCCAGAGACAAACTACATTGTTCTTGGAAACAAATTGAAGATCACGTTCATAACTGATGGAAAAAAGAATGCAAAAGGATTTCGGATTCACTGGGAAGGTAAAAAGAAATAACATTCTGCTTCTACAGATATATGAATACCAAGTTCACTACTTCTGAACTTCAAAAAAAAAATCAATATCTCAAAGGCAAAAATTTTCTACTACATGTTATAAAAGATATGTTATTCGGGGTTTGCTTTATTCCTCCCAAAGGAAGTAAATACTCCTCGATCTCTAATGATTGTTTTTTAGAAATAGAACAAGAATTGATTACTCTAGCAAAGGATAATAGAAATGTTTGTTTAATGGGAGACTTTAATGCAAGAACTGGTCACTTACCTGATTATTTTATTCCCGATAGTTTTTTGTCAAAAGAACATATATGTGATGATTTAACTCACAATGAAATTGAAGCACGAACAATTATTTTTGAGAAATATTCAATACCTTTACAAAGAATTGTTCAAGACTCAAATGTTAATAATTTCGGTTATAAATTAGTAGATTTTTGTAAAAACAATGATATCTATAAAGTCAATAGCCGTCTAGGAAACGATAAAAACATTGGTGCTGTCACGTGTAAAAACTGTAGTACGGTTGATTATGTCCTAGCTAGCGTAAATATTAATGTGTTAGAAGTTTTACAAGATTTTGATATTCACGATTTCTGCAATTTATTTTCAGACGTACATAAACCGTTATCTTTTACAATTTCCAGTCTTGATATACGGTCTGAAAATGTTCGCGTAGGTGAGAATCAGTCAAGTGTGAAACTGTGGTGTCAAAACAAAGAGATCAAGTTCAAGTTCAAGTTCAAGTATATATGTTATTTATGCACAATACCCCATGTACCAATAGATTGGTCTGGGTGAATAAACTGAACTTGAACTTGAACTTGAAAAAAGTACATTCACGGAGGAATTTGAACCTTTTCCGGCATAATTATTATTCTATGGACGTTTAATTACATTAATTGGTCGTAATTAGAGCAAGCTCTTGATTAGCGAATTAGCTGGGAGACATAAACGCCACTAGCAGGTGATAGTTGAATGTTACTACAAAAAAGAAAGTTGACAATGGAAAAGCTGGAGTCATCTCTTTAGTCATTCAATTCAGTTGTTAGTTGGCCCTTATCGTTATGTATAGTCAGCACTGTATACAAAGTGCTAATCGAAAATCTACTTGATTTGGATCACTAGCTATATTTGTTTGGGTCATTCGAAGTTTCCGTCTGCACATTTAGACAAAAGCTGTGCTTTTATATACGTTTTCTTACTGATAATAAAACTACTTCAACCAATATGAGACTCCTTCTTGGTATATTTAAGGAATAACTGTCTTATTTTTCGAATTCATGAAGTGATCAATGGATTGGCTTGTGTGATAATTTGCATAAAACGCCGAAGGCGTTTATGCATAAAATTATCACACAAGCCAATCCATTGATCATCTTCATGAATTCGAAAAATAAGACAGTTATTCCTTATATTTACATGCTTTGATTCCGCCAATCCACGGGCTCCAAGCCTGCTTCTCTCTAGGTGTTGTCCCGCCCTGCACGTGTTTTTTTTGGAACCGCGCCAAAACATTCATGAGGAAATAAATTACATTTACAATTGGTAATTTTATCTCAGACAAAGACATTGGAAATGTAAATATTTAAAGATAATCATATTTTTGTTTCATCTACCCCTCCATAAACATCTGTAGCAGGCGTTTTTCACGCATCTAATGGTCATTTTTCGACTAATCATCCTCTGGAATGGACTGTTGACATTAATTTAATAAAACATTTAATTTTATTGTAATGTTTAATATGAATCTTTATCAATCGTAAGCTATCAAATTCGACCACAAGGTCTTCTTTATAACCTGGCAATAACATCAAATATGCACCTACCCAACTTTTCCAGAGCTATATTATGTTTGCGTAGAAAATATCCAGAAAGCTATCTTTGTTGTCATGACAGCTATACTTTTTTCGAGTATACATATACTAGTAGCATTTAGGCCTAGTGCAATTAGTAAAATAATTTATTGACGTTACTTTGTGTTTACAACAGTACTGTCCCAGATAGCATGACTATGTTGGGCCAACATTTGTTAAAAGTTGTATGGTTGGCGTTGGGGGAACAACGTTGGGCTAACGTTGGACCAATGTTACAAAGTCAACCTTCTCGACCATGACGGAATTCCTATGTTGGCTTAACTTTGGTCCAACGTAAGCAACTTCCATTCAATTTAGTTTCCAAGGAAGGAAGGATCCTGGCGTTGGCCCAACGTTGGACCAATGATTATAATACACCCTTAAAGAAAGTGTATTTACAAGTTGGTAGTAGTATGTTGGCCCAACGTTGGCCCGATGTTTGTAATACACCCTTAAAGAATGTGTCTTATCAAGTTGGTAGTATTATGTTGGCCCAACGTTGGTCCATTGTTTGTAATACAACCTTAAAGAACGTGTCCTATCAAGTTGGTAGTAGTATGTTGGCCCAACATTGGCACAATGTTTGTTATACATCCTTAAAGAAAGTGCCTTATCAAGTTGGAAGTAGAATTTTCCCCCAACGTTGGCCCGATGTTTATAATACACCCTTAAAGACAATGTCTAATTAAGTTGGTAGTATTATGTTGGCCCAACGTTGGCCCATTGTTTGTAATACACCCTTAAAGAACGTGTCCTATCAAGTTGGTAGTAGTATGTTGGCCCAACGTTGGCCCATTGTTTGTAATACACCCTTAAAGAACGTGTCCTATCAAGTTGGTAGTAGTATGTTGGCCCAACGTTGGCCCATTGTTTGTAATACACCCTTAAAGAACGTGTCCTATCAAGTTGGTAGTAGTATGTTGGCCCAACGTTGGCCCATTGTTTGTAATACACCCTTAAAGAACGTGTCCTATCAAGTTGGTAGTAGTATGTTGGCCCAACGTTGGCACAATGTTTGTAATACACACAATTGTTATTTTGTTTAGGTGTTTCAAAGATGGGATATTTATATTGGGCCAACGCTGGCCCAGTTATTATACTGCCAACTAATTGATGTCAATTTTATAATTAGCTGCTGAGCTTTACGTTGGGACAACGTTGGCACATTCTGAAATAATTAAGAGGACTTTCTATGTCCATGCTTATCATTGGATGACTGCTTTTGTTTAGATATGATATTTTCAACATCTTAGCTTTGCACTTAAGTGATCACAGCACAAAAGAGTGTTTGTTCTATTTTTAAAATTGTGTTTATGCTTATTTATTTGTAATAACCCAGATAGCAGAACATCGTTGGCCAATCTTAAATTATGGTTTTATTATCTATGTTGGGTTACCTTGATTGAGCCAACAATGGCCCAACATGGAATATTGATCGTTGGTTATGTATAATGGTGCGCAAATGTTGGGCTAACTGTTGGCATTATATCATAATACTATTATCATGAGAGAAAATATTTGTTTGGGGATTGGTATCGGCCCTACGTTGGCCCAATATACCATGAATCTGACCGAGCATCATGGGTAGACAACAACCGGGCTACTTGTAATATCCGCGCCATTTTTAATCTGACACGAGCGAGCGTAACGAGACTGATACCTTGCATATCTGCATCCACTTTGTAAGTATTAATAATATGTTTGCCTCGGCACAGCTGAATTAACGTTTAGTTTTTAAACGATATCATGTACAAATCTGTGTACATCAGACACGGGGAAGTGCAGAGGCCAGGTGCTGTTGAATCAACACTGTACGATAGCATGCTAACATTGGACCAACGTTGGGCCAATGTAATCGGTTACATCGGGCCAATGTTGGCAAATGACAATGAACCAATTTAAGTTTGCTCATCGGCCCAATGTTGGCCTGATATGTTTGGCCAACGTTGGCCCAATGTAGAGTGTTATTTCTACAGATATTGGCCCAACGTTGCGCCAACATTGGCCCAATGAATGCGACAATATGTTGGCGAAACGTCAACAAGAACACTGGGCCGATGTTGGTAAATGACGTTGGCCCAGTGTCATTTTGCTCCTTGGCCCAATGTTGGCCCGATATATTGGACCAACATTGGGCCAATGTGTATAAACATTTAATTGTTACAAATCTGTATATTAACAAATCTGATCGTCCCTACAATAAGAAATAAATCTACAACTAATCCTACTTGAAAATACAAGCTAGCTAAAATAAATTTAAAATTCTTATAATTTATCAAAATAAATTATCAGTGATTAAATTTTTTGTTTCTATACAAGAAAAATAAATGAAAGTATAGAATAACAATAAATAATCTGCCCCTTATTTATATTGAAATTTGTGTCTAGTAGAATAAATTTCCGATGTCTACCACTTAATTTACTTAATATATAAACTTAACGTCGAGTACATGATCAAACATTTTGAAAATGTTGAACTTGTTGAAGTTAAAACAAAATTTATTCAGTGCTAAACATAAATTGGGTTCTTTCATTTAAAATTTGTTCAGTGTAACGAAAAATTTTCAATACATGTATTTCATATGGGGCAACATTGAATCAAAATCGTTGTGATGATGATGATCAAGCGTATAAATGCATAAATGCCTTCATCACGCAAGCTAATCACTTAATCACACCATGAAACAAAAAAGACGGTTATTCCTTAATTGACAGCTTAAACATATAGTGATATACTTGTAAATTTAATCGTATGTTTACTCTTTACTGAGAAAAGTAACAAATGTATTAAGTACCAAATACTACAATTTTAGTGCTACTGGAGATTCTAAAAAGACATTGAGAACACAATCAAAGAAAAGCTAAGGTGTGCCAAGGACAGGGATGGGGAGGAAGAAACGGACAGAGAGGAAAAGAAGGGGAAGGAGGAGACTTGGGAGAGAGAAGAGGAGACTTAGTAAAGGGATCAGATGGAAAGTGACAGTGCCTAACTTTTTCTGTAATATAGTGTGACATACCTGTAGTTCTACCCTTTTCTGTGTCTGTTTGTCGGTTACAAACACGATGCAGATGCCAGAAACATTTTTTGTGTAAGTAAACAAAATTACGGGATTCATTTTAGTATTATTTTAAGGACAGAAGGGCTTTGTTTATTTGTTAGACGTGCTTATTGATACCTATAATTTACTGAACTTACAAGTGCATAAATTTACATCAGAGAGGGAGTATAGAGTCATGTAACCCTACATATATCGCTCGAAGTGAGCATCAACTTTTAGTTCTTTATTAATGTTTTCTTCATGCACTGAGCAATTAAATTATAGTATGCTATAATTTAATTATATATTTTGATTTAATTAAAGCAATATGAGCTGCATGTTTGACATCGGAAAATTTTATTGCAAATTTGTGATTAGCTAATTTAATGACAGAAAAATAAATCATTTGTAAACTTCTGTTGTTCATATTCGCGATGGAAAATTTTTTATTAGCTTTGATTGAAGCAAAATTGAATTATTGTCGTCCTGTACAATAATTATTTCTTATTATAAAACTGTATGTTCGGTTGAACAGAAATATTTCTTCTGAAACATTTTTAAACTTTATTTTGGGCTTATTGGTCATTAGGATTTAAATTTTATACAAATTAATCATAATAGCACATTTTACAAACAAAATAAAATTTTCGAAGACACAGCTCATATTGCTTTAATGTAGCGCTACTTACAATGCAATACTTGTTGATAGCAAGTCTATGAGATATTGAGAATATGTATTAAACTATTAATCTAGCATATAAAGCATATATAGATACAGTAGTATTAAAAGGCTTTTACCATTAAACTGTACTACAAAACTAGTATAACCTTATTGTATATATTTGTTTGTCAATTTTGAGGACAAATGGCCAACCAGTGAAGAGCAAATGAGTTGTCATGATGGAGAGCCAATAAGATACAAACCAACGTTGGCCCAAAAATGATGTTTGCCTAATATTTAAAGAATAAGTGGCCCAACAATGGCTCAATAATATCCGTTCGTTGGTCCAACAATAAGCCAACAAGTTGGTCTGATTAAGGGCCGATGAGCAAATTACCGTTGGCCCAACATTAATTGCTTACAATGGCCCAACTGTACAAAAATGACGTATGCCCAACATTGAAAAAATACATTGGCCCAAAAGTGGCCCAATATTAACTGTTACATTGGCCCAACAATAAGCCAACAAGTTGGGTTGATTAAGGGCCGATGAGCAAATTACCGTTGGCCCAACATTAATTGCTTACAATGGCCCAATTATACAAAAATGACGTTTGCCCAATATTGAAATAATACATTGGCCCAACAGTGGCCCAATATTAACTGTTACATTGGCCCAACAATAAGCCAACAAGTTGGTTTGATTAAGGGCCGATGAGCAAATTACCGATGGCCCAATGTTGAATGCAAACGGTGGCCCAATATAAGGAGCATTGTTGGCCCAACAAAGGTCCAATAACATCCTGCTATCTGGGGTACAATATTTTCTTCCCCAGACTCCTCTTACATTTCAACAATGTCCCAGTCCGTAGGAGGTCCATGTGTCATATGCTCACCTTAAGCATTTTATGCTCAATCGGTGAGTGTGATACATATGTATTTAAGAATATAGATTATAGAAAAAGTAGTGTGGCCTCTTGGTAAGTTACTTAGGAGAGAACAAACACACAGGCACCTGACGTTACTTATTTTTCTTTTAATAAAATAAATTATACCCCTATCTATAACATTTTGAACCTTTCGTGACAGTATCTTTTTTAATTTTTAATGGAAGCAACGTTAACTGTAATGACGTTTTTATTAAGTTCCATTTTTTCATTCCGGAATAAAAGATTGTTCAAGCATAAATTTCTACGGGAAACGGGAGGGGGTTACATTGTTGTCCATAATACTAAAAGATCCCAACACAAAAATCCTATTTTATGGTTGGGGATGGGGTCGGCTTAATTGGTGGACAAGCTACATTCTTCCATATATATTCTCATATTTCCTAATTATATAAATATCAACTTATGACAGTCATTCATCAACAAAAGCATACAAATTTAAGAATTTTCATGTTGCTCACCAATTTACATGTAATATTGTAAAATTTTAAAGATCGATTTCAACTCTTAGATTTTACATATACACAAGGTTTTGTAAATATTTAGTGGCATATATATGCATTCAAAGTTTTGATTTGATAATTTAATGATTAATTAAAACGCATTCAACTTCAAATCTTAATGCCGCTTCGTTCATTTACTAATTTCAATTCAGCCAAATAAGCGTTTATCGTAGACTGACTGTTATGAGTTTGCGTTTCTTGTGAAGGAGGGGGGGGTTATTTTGATATGGTTACTTTAATATTCTTAAGTTTTAGTGAATTTGAAAAAATTATCAGGTCTTGATCCCCTAACCTTTATCCGCTTTTCTGGATCTGTCTATGGGGATATAATGCCAATTTTTTTTTAAACTTTTATCTTCATAGATTCTGTTTCATATTCTTAGTTTTAATTAAGTTCTGATGTCTGATGATAGTGTGAAAATAAGTGAAATTTTACACAAGTTGCATTATAATCTCTTTATCATAGATTTATAAAAGAGAGAAAAAAAGTGTACAAGGCGAGAACAATCACCCGCTCTATGACGGAAAAGTTTGATTTTTCTAAAATTATGTTGTCGGTTATGTCATCTTCAACATATTAGATTCATATATTGTTCTGAAAGGCATATTGATTGAAAATTGTTTTTAGACTTATTTAGTCGAAAATGAGTACGTTTTAAATTATATTAAATGATTCTAGCTATAAAGATTTATTTTTTAATATGAACGGACCAGGTTTAAATTCGAGGTATTGTGTTTAAGTTACGGAAAAGTAAAAGCATTGTGTTTTTTTAATGGCGTCTGAACCCATTCTATCTAAAAGTTGAATATTTCTGAAATGAAAAAAAGTGAGGATAATGAGTATTGATTTATGTCGAAAAATATACAAACAATACAAACATGTGGGCAGGGCATAGATACGGACCCCCCCCCCCCCCCGGGAATACCAGAGATCCAGAGATTGGAACGGGTACCTAGAGTAGTAAGCATCCCTTATTGATCGGTCAAACACGCTGTTAGCTCTATGTATTGATCAAGTGAACGGAACATTTCGTAATCAAATTTAGTATAAAAACAAAGGTCTAACAGTTGGGTGAGAGAAATAAGCAAATAAAAAAAACGACCCAAGATAAATTAAACGATAGGTTGAAAAACCTTATTTGTCTCAACAAATTCGTTTCTTTTTAAGCAAACTGACACACAAACAACAAGAAGACACCGTAGCATATTGTGGTTAACGCATTTAGTCTTACACCTTCCATGAGCTTTGGAAAAAATTCGATTACTTTGTGAAGCGCTTTTTTCCGTTTTACATACCTTTAAAACATAAGTAAAAATATATTACCTGTATTTATCAATAAGTTATTTAATGACATAAAGTTGAGACAGTGTCTTTGGATTATACTCCTCCTATATACGCCTTCATTCTTCAAGAAGTATTCTACAAAAATCAAACATAGCATTTCTGTATCAATCGTGACAAAACGCAAATCAAGTATCGCACAAACACCAGCAATGATAGCACATTTTATCAAATTCTATATCTATTTATTTCTGTTTAACTTCTTTCGACTGATAAATGTTTCTCTTGTGATAATAAATGCCAATACCTTTTTTCAAAACTGCGATATCGCGATAATTTTATCAGAAAACAATTAATCTTAATTTCATGCAAATCACAAAAAGGATCCGAAAAAAGTATAGCAATCGCAAAAATATGTTGCAAACATAGTATAGCATTCACTCAAAACAAGAATAGCCCAATTTCTCTAAAATGCGTAATTCATAGAAATCAGACGATGTTTCGTGGGTGAATTGAGGCGAAAACTAAGTTACAATAATTTTTACAACAGAATATAGTTTGAAAAAAATAAGAACAATTGAAATAATTCAAAATAAGCGAAAATCCCATTTGAACTTAGTAAATGAGAATGGTATCGAATTTCTGACTTGTTTCAACTTAAAAATTTTCTCAAATAAATTTACATTGATTCTATAAAGGTTTAATAAGTTTTCTAATTTCTTAAAATTACTTTTACCCATATTTTGCTAGCAGAATTTTCTTTTTTACCCATAATGCATCAGAGTACCCAAAGCAATATAGCAAGTGATCCAAATCAAGTAGATTTTCGATTAGCACTTTGTATACAGTGGTCAGTAAAACATCCAAATGTATATTATATTTTGATCCCTTTGTTAAAAATTTCTCGAAAGAGAGAATGCTGTTCTGGTAATAATATTATGAAAATCAATTAAAAGGAATTCATACATTACAAATTGTCCATCACAAAAATATTGAATGGTCTTCTTTTGAACATATGTTTTTACAAGTCACGTCATTAATGCTTGTTTTATCGTTATCAGTCAGAGACTACAGAAAAGAAGGTAAAGATCCAATTGTCAAGGTTCTTTTCTGTCCCCCGTCACCTGTTACAACCAAGTCTCCATTAACCACAGCAGCTCTAACAACTGATGCTACACCTGGACCACCAGAACTCCTGGAGAAGCTGTCCTATTGTCAATCATCATTAATATATGAGGGTTTTTATGATTCTCCGTAGAATCTATACATTTAATTATATATACATACTTGTATAAATCCTTAACTATATTCTTTGGGTCTTTGCTCATCTGTTATTTGTATCATCTGATCTCTGTTTTCTGTTTATGACATTTAAACTTGATGTCATACTGCATAATATGGTATATATAACGAAAAACATGTATTTTTTCATTTAATGTATAGTGTATATATACATATGTGTATATCTATTTTCATTATACTGTGTATTTCGTTCTAGAATTTTCTGTTTACATCGATTTTATTGATACATCATCACTTTAAGCATGTTTTCAATACCATCTTGACGTCTCCATTGTTGGGTTTCAATTTTGCATCTCATTTGTCATGGTTGTCGGTACATATCGTAACATCTCTTCCTTGATCACGTCAATTTTCGTTGGTGTTGTTGGTAAGTACAATTTCTATATCTCTGTTGCAGATGTTATATCTGTGTCTTTGTTTCTATTCCACCTGTGCACCACCTTTATATTTCTGTAAATAATACCACATCTCTAAGCTTCAATATCTAAATCTATTGCTGTTGGAACCATCTTTCTTGTTCGAATTATTTGGACCCTTCAACTCAATGATGAAGTCAATTTAAGATCTGTAAACGTACTTTTCAATTAGAATTATGATTGTTTCACTACAGCTTATATAAAAGATGGGATCATCGGTGTTTTGTCCACAGCACTACTTGTTGTCACAGTGACGTTCTGTTGTCATCGAAGGAAAAGGTACACTTACAGTACTTAATTACTGATGTACTAGTATTTTATAGTCTTATTCACCATCCGATATAACACACGTTCTTTTGGCATTTTAGTTTATGACAAAAACTTAATCGCCCACAACTTAAGTTTACAATCTTGAGTTAACTTTGCCCAACCATTTTTACCTTTCATCCTCTTTGAATCGCATCTATAATTTTTATTTTTCATTTTAGTTCACCACCAAAAAGGAAGGCTGAATACTCAATCAGTTACAGGTCATCCGAATTTTCTTCGTTGGAAACTGAATCACAAACCATATATGATTATCCTCTGTCACTGGCCACGGAAGCTGTTGATTATTTGAGAAGCACAACGTCATCAGGGTATGCCATACCGAGGCTAACCATGACAGATGACTGCAGTGAACCTCCAATTTATGGCAATGTGATTATGGAATCTGAAAACGAAAATATGGACGTTGAATGCGAATATATGAATATTTCCACGGCACATCAACCCGATGTCGGAAAGAGAGCCCAATCAAGAGAGAAATCTTTACATCTTGACAATTCCATTTCACGGGCTGCGGTGCTCTCGTCCAAACGAAGTGCTCAAAAGCGAGCTAATCGTTCAAAAAATAAAAGGAACAAAAGCAAAAGAGTAGAAGAAAGTAATTATTTAAATATAACACCTAAGCTGCACTCCTACATCGAGGTGGTGGATGATCCGACCGATACTTTGTTTAGTAATAGCTCCACTAGTATGACGTCATCAGGATATTCCAAACCAGTGGAAAACAAAGCCAAACTCCGGAGACAATTGCAATACTCCAGTAAGAAAAACACAACAGGAAGAGGTGTTACTGTGAATTCTTAATTGTGATTTTATTGAGCAAATTTATTTCTTCTTTATCAATAACTCAAAAATATATGTATAGAGAAAACAGTTAACTTTTTTTTTATCATATTTATGTGAATGACAATGTAGAACCCTTGCCTGTGATCTTCATTATAATCACTATAGTTATGATGTTGATTTTTAAAATTTGGGAGACAAAAATAAAAGAAGATGGGGGACAAGGCGGGCAGAATGCCTATAGCGTCAGATATTAAGAAATCATATTCAATATGTGAATTGAATTTTTATATTAACTTCTCATTATGGAAATTTGTGAAATTATGTGGAAAAAAAACTTCTGAGAGAGAAAAAATCTCGTAAAAAATGTTTCTTTTATAAAAATATTAGATGGCATTCGTGGGATTCGAACCCCAGTAATAAAAATCCGAAGAATCATACTGCTTTGAGACTAACGCGCTGACCACTATGCTACATGGCTCATGATGATCATGTTTGTGATATGAACCTTGACTTAATGGACTTGAAGTATTTCTCAGAAAGAAGCAAATGTTGTGCCATAAAAGTGTACTTTTAAAGTATAGTGGGTCTTCGCTCCATGTTATTGTAAACCAAAAAAAATGAATATTTTATTGCAAACTTTTAGGATTATCTTTCACAAAAATGGAGCGAAGACCCACTCATATTAAAAAAAATTGTTAAAGTATGAGAAAATGATCGTTTTTGTTCTTTTTAGTGTGTGTATGCTTTTCCATAGGCATATATTTTCAGTTTTGGTGGGATTTTTGTAAATTGTAGAGATCTTACATTTAGTATACATTAGTGTTAGATGAAATATCAAATAAAATTAGAATATAATTGAGATTTAATTTTTCACTTCTTATTTGTAGATCTATAGGCACTTTGCCCGCCTTATCCCCCCTCCCCCTTTTGAATAATCCAGATATCAGCTTGGCGTCAGTGTCAAGATTTGTTTTTTTTAACAACTTTGAATGTTAAACTTTTTTAAACGGTTGGCGTAGTTTTCAAGTGTTGCTCTTGTCAATTACTATCGTTTCCGTTACTTTCATAACTGGCCATCAGTTACACGAGTAATTTTCAATATCAAATTCAATTCGCCTAGTCCCGCTTTCTTTTCGATCCAGTAATACTTGTCCAGTAGTAAACCTCTTCTTAAATTAAATAAAAAGTTACAAGAAATGTGACGATAAGTAAAGACATTAATGACAAAACAACAGCTACACTTATGGCAACCATTATGACATCAACTTCTTTATCGTCAGCTTCCTTATTAATTAAGCAATATACCATTAACTTAGACCTATATACATATTGATGATATTTGATGCGTCATGGTCCCGTCCTCAGGTGGATCCTCCTTCAGTTGTTATTTCGGCGTTGTCCACTACAACCTCCGTAGGTACGCTGACTGGGGTGATCAAGTCCTAGCCTGGAACCACTCAGCTCTCCGCCTTCACTGCAACACATTAAATGTTCATTCACAGGCAAACACGTGGAGTCTTAGTGTTGCACTTTACACTGTTCTTCTTTTTTCTTCCTTATCCATATGGATGTCACTTTGCCTCTCGGACCAGGCGCCCAATGAATTATCGTCTCTCAGTGCCTGTTACACCTACAATCCGCAAGGCCCTCAACATAGATTGCCCTACAAAACCTCGGCAGCCAACTTCCACTAGGAGACACCACACTCTCCAGCCTCGTTATTGATACTGTAAACCAACTTTTATTCGCGTGCGAGATATTTTCGCGAAGTTCGCGAGAGTCTTCTCATCGCGAATATTTCTCGCCGCGAACCAGTCTTTAAAGTCTCTATGTCTATTAACAACAGATCAAAAAAGGCTTGTTCGCGAAAATTAATCGTCGCGAACTAGTTTAACCCCTGTAAATCGCGAAAAAAAGTCGTCGCGAATAAAAGTTGGTTTACAGTAGTCTGCAGCCAGATCCTGGTACTTATTCATTTTCTGCTAATGGGCTTCTTCAATTTTAAGTTCCAGCATAACAACGAGCCGGACTACGGGAGACAAAATAACAATATCTGCTTTGTGATTGGTAGATGCTATTTCTTGTGAATACTGCATTCGGCTGTTGAGATCGGTTTACATTTCCCAGTCACTGGCGGTTCCCAACAGTCCACCTCCTTCCACTCCCCCAGCACGACTCTGTTCACCAACCTTAACAAAGTTACAAACTTCACTATTTCTTAGTCTTCCGAGGTTTCTTCCCTGCTTTTTCAAGTAAGTGTGCAATAACAGACCTTTTTGTGTCTTCATGTTATCTTCCATCTGTTAAAGCTACTGAACACGAAGATAAGATATGTTCCAGGTTGGCTGGTCTACCACAAAGATAGCAGATTGGATCGTCCTTCATGCCCCATGTTGTCAGATTGGTTGGGGTTGGCAACACGTCATAAATTAACTGAGGCTGAAACTGCAGTCTCTAGGGCTCTGTTATCTAGATCTCGTTCCAAGATAACTTTTTCTGTCGGGCACGTTCCCAGTTTTACCAGCTTCCCTGCTTCTTCATACCAACTGCCTTCACCACTCTTGTGTGTTCTTCCACCGCACCAGTTTGCCTCTTCTTCACTTCCAACGATGTACCCCATCTTGTCAATGGTATTATTCCTATTCCCTGCCTGCCTACAGCCACACTTCCCACAATGTCCGCTTGTCTCAGGCGTGACTCTTCCTCTTGCACTGTCTTCTTTGCTGATCACTTTTTGCCCGTCTTGATGTTCACTCTTGCCTCCCGTACCTTGGAATGATTACTGTCGCGTAACATCAGATACCGCCTGACCTCGGTGACCATGAATGCCTCAATGGTTGACGTCAGTGGTAATTGCAGCTTTGTTCCTGTGTTGTATAAACCAATGCTTCTAAAGCTTTTTGAAACCTCCAGTCATCTTCAGAGGTACTCTACATCAATTCAACTGATGTCACTTGCAAATCATACACAAGAAAAGGCCAAATAATTCGTGGGAGCACATCGTGCTGGTATATCCATGCCTTGTATTTTCCTGGTAAGGCACTTTTGTCTATGGTGTTCATCCACTTCTCAAGTTGATTACTGGCGTCGTTAACATTCTGTTTATCACTCGGTGAATCCTCAAAGAACTTTTGCAGGCACCAGTTTTTCTGAGACTGATGGGATAATCTCCATCTCAAACCCTGAACTACTCTCCTGTGGTTTTCCTCTTTTTCATTATGAAGCTCCTAGACTGTGTTAGCTTGATCTTCATACGGGCCCAACTGATGATATCCTTCAAGGTTCATTTTGGCTCTATGTTGGTCTTTGTGCTCATTGTCATATCGTCCATGAACACTCGGACAGGGGGCTCACGCCTGCCTTCATCCATTGACCTCTGCTCATTTTCTCCACCGATCTCACCATCTAAATCATGGCTGCAGAGAACAGAATTACTGATACTGTACAACCTGTGACGATCCTTACTTCTAGGCGCTGTCACGATGTTTTGAAGTCCTAGGTAGTGAACCGTAATTGAAGCCTGTCAAAGTAACTCATGAGCAGCTTCCGAATCCTGTCTGATATATGGTAGCGCTGTAGTGTAAGTTGGACTAACTTATGAGGCATGGTCTTTAACTTCTCTCTAATGTTAGTCCTTAATTCAACCAATGCAGGTCGTTCCCCCTCTCTCATATACTAAATCGTCTTGCCAGTTTTGTCTCCTGTTCTTATTCACTACTCTTCTTGATTTCTGCTTTACTTCCTTTCCAAATCTGTACAATCCCACGTTGTATATTATCGTTGCAATGCCTTTGATCTTTTTGTCTATTCCTCCTGCCAGTGATGCTTTTAGGATTGCATCTACATCATTGTTAAACATCTTCTATTCTTCCTTATTTCTTTTAGCTGGCCACTTGATCTTTGCTTTCCTCTCTGATTCAACGTGCTGCCTCTTGGGCTAACGTGTCTGCTCATCTGGTGTTACCCCTTCCCCTTGGCTGCCCCCTCGTTGACTGGGACTTGGACGCTGTGGTCGCTGTGGTTAGATTCCTGGACCACCTCCTCCTCCTCCGTTTCACAAGGTTGCCCTGTGTGTTGCGTCAGTCGCTAAATAGGGGCGCAGCCCATTTTCCGCAAGTGTACAGTATTTTCAGCCCCTGCTCATTTCCGTCCCCACTCATTCTTTAAGAGGTCGCCCGCGTGGCGGAGTGATTAAAGAGTCTGCTTTAGGAGTTAATCCTTATGTCGCGGGTTCGAATCCCACTGTTGGACGTGGAGACCGGTCCTTTGGATGAAACCTTATAAACTGAGGTCCCGTGTCACAGTAGATGCTGGCACGAAAAAGATCCCTCGCTGCTCAATGACCCTCAGTGCCGAGTATAGGACAAAATTTGCAGCTCTCCACCAGCAAGTGGTGGCGTCGTCATATGAGTGAAAAATTCTCGAGAGGGGCGTTAAACAACATACAGACAAACAAACATTCTTTAAGGTCTTTCAACAACTACATGTGCTCAAATTCAAACTCTCTATCCTTGGTCGGCCCTGTGTTGTTACCGTTACATATTCCAAAACAGGTCGCTCATCCTCCCCCGCTCTCGCGCGACCCCGGGGGTATCTTTCTATGTATAGCGGATTCTAAAAGTTTCTCCTCAAGGAAGATGTGCTTTGGATTGCTAAATCTCCACAACCTTGATTGCCTGTCTGTCCAGACTGTCTCCTGACTATCCAGTTTGTCACTGCCCTATTCACAGTCGTCATCCAGACCTTCCTGGCCGTCACTGGTTGTCCAGAATGGAAATATCTATATCCATCTTGGTGATATTTGATGTGTCATGGCCCCGTCCTCAGGTGGATCCTCCTTCAGTGATTGTTTCGGCGTTGTCCACTTAAACTTCCAAAGGTACGCCGACTGGGTTTATCAAGTCCCAGCCCAGCACCACTCAGCTATCCGCCTTCACTGCAACACATTAAATGTTCATTCACAGGCAAACACAGAATCTTAGTGTTGCACTTTCCACTGTCACTGTTCTTCTCTCTTCTTCCATATCCACTGTGGGACATGGAGACCGGTCCTTTTGCATGAGACCGTATAAACCGAGGTCCCGTGTAGCAGTATATTTAAGTGCTGGCACGAAAAAGATCCCTCGCAGCTCAATGGCCCTGAGTGCCGAGCAATGGACAAAAATTCGCAGCTCTCCACCAGCAAGTGGTGGCGTCTCCATATGATTGAAAAATTCTCGAAAGGGACGTTAAACAATATACAATCAATCTTCCATATCCACACATTGATGCCACTTCTGCCTCTCTGCCTAGGCGTCCAATGAGTTGCCGTTTCTCA